TTTATCGTATAAAGGTTTTTGTACTTTGACATATAATTTATCAATTTTAGCAACAATTTGCCAAACAATAATATGCTGCATACTCATGCAAATAGTTCATTAATTAAAATATAAATTACTACGTTTAACAAAATTATATAAAAATACTCCACTAATATTTTTTTGTATTTGCTATATCGTAACAGTTGAGTTACTGAAATAAATCTAAAAAAATCAAGGAAATCATGAATATATTTTAACAAAACATATCTGACATAACTCATTTTTAAGGATTTTGGTGTGTTTTGAGATGTATTTTATATGAATTAATGTTCGACAATTTAATAAATTTTTAATATATCTTTTTATATTTATCTATGTACAGAAAAAATAGTAATTAATTTTATAAACTAATTCTTAATCAATGCAGTTTCATGCTATGCCGATCACATATATTGCATTCTTCAAAAATTGGTTGGAATATTACTGTCAAATATATTTTAAATTTTTTTCGGTGGCATTTTGTAGTGCACATACATTTACATATATTTGTATTGTAAGTACTTTAACTCAGATACATTGTTGAATAGAATCTATAGCCCTTGAAAAAGTGGACTAGAATGGATTCCTTGTCTGTTTAATTCGATTCTATCGGAGTTTATTTTGTGGCTTTTACTTTCTTTGAATTATCATTGACTTCCTTTGCTTGTTGTATGCAGCGGCGAGATATATTATTGCGAGATACTTAAACATTGTTCAAATTTTGTAATGTATGTTTAAATTTATTTTTAAATTTGCTTTATTTATTAATTTAAATTATTTGATTATCTTTATGCTGTTGAATAGAGATGTTTAAAGATAATCTGCAACCAAATTTATGTGTATGTTTATTTAAAGGTTCTTATTTTGAACGGGCATAAATTATTTAGCGACAGTAGCATGACTATTGTTTTTGGTATTTTGTAGTAACGATTCGGTTTCTCGGGAGTCTGCTTTTACCTGCTATAAATGACTAAATTTGACGCATGCCAACGGAGTTAATTGCAATGAAATCATAGTCACGTGGTGAACGTCTCGATGATGTTCGACATCATACAGATGTTTGACCCTAGACCACCCTGAGTCCGAAAAAACAACTTTTGGAGTTATGTCTTTCGGTCTATGAATTAAAACGGTCTGTCTATGAATTAAAAAGCTACGAACTAAACAGGGCCGGCCTTTAGCCGATTGGACCGATCGCTCACAATAGGTCCCCTCGCTTAAGGGACGCCGCGCCAGAATACTATCCGCTCAGTTCAGTGGCGTAGCTAGGGTGGACTAGGCAGTGTAAGTGCCCTGGATGCCACTACCAGAAGTTGCAAAATTGAGTTTCAGAATTTAAAAGAGTTATTTATTTAATTATTTTACTCTCTCATACGAAGGGTACAAAGACAAAGCACTGTAATAGTCATGAAATTCCAACTCGAAATTGTATACCAATATTTAAGTTTTAAACCTCTCCGAGTCTGGAAAGACCATTTTCTGGGATAACGTCTGTCTTGGTCTATATGTAAACACAATAACAGAAAAACGCTACTAGCTAAAAGGGCGAAATTTAGTATGTTGACAGAACACCGAAATTTTAGGTTTCCAACAAATTTAGACGAAATCCTGTGCTTGAAAAGTCTGCGCATCTTCGCACATGTGGATAAAATAGCACAAAAAAATCAAAGAGCTAAAAGGATTAAATTTAGGATATTGTTTCATCATCAGAATTGCAGATCTGAATCAAATTGAGGTCTCAATTCGAAGAAAGGAACACATTCGAGATGCATTCTCATTTTTTTTTCACTACGCTACGAAGCCCAAACTGTGCCGTACTGTATTAGCAAAAGAGAAAATAGAGGGCAAAACACTTCAGACATTTTTTTCTTTGTTATAAGTCCTTAGATTGTAAATAACTAGAACTAAAACTTAAAAAAAGAATAGCTGATAATTTTTCTCAATCGGGCCTCTCACATCGAAAGGCCGGCCCTGGAACTAGACTCAGGGCCAGTGCAAGGATAATTGGAGCCCGTAGGCAAAGAAAAATTTAGGCGTCCTTATAAATAAGTACATATTCACATGCATAGCCAAACATAACAGAATCGTATTCAAAAGCATTTTAAATATAAAAAAAAACATTTATTATTTTTGTAAATTAACAAAACCTTAAATTGCGCAAAAATGGAAAACAAATTTTGATAATATTCTTTGTTGAGTCAATAAAGCCGCCGATATTAGAAAAATAAATGTTTATTACAACTCAACATATAATAAACACAAAATCAATCGGTACCGCTAAAAGTTGGGCAACTTCACTTCAAATATATCACAGCTGGGGCGTTGATTACATTTTGACCGTATCGCAAGGGCGAATGGTTAGTAAAATTAATCCATTGTATGAGATGACCAAACCGCAAGGGCGGATGATTATTTATGCAGTTCCACTGCTTGACCACCACTAGGACCGGTGGTGCTTTATGAATCAACGACCACTGCTATCACGAGTGGCTGGTGCATACTGTTCAGCAACTGATTCCGAGACTACCACTTTTGGGCGATTTTGCACCGGAAAGGGGTGTCAGGCAATGAGTCATATGAGCGCATTTCCGGAGTTCTTTGTTAGATCACGCTCAGTAAAATGCAAACATCATCTTTCCATTCTTCACTTTCCCCCTATTTTGATGAAAATAACTCCGCTCGGCGCATGCGCAAAAGCGCGGAGGGTTTCCGAATCTGTTGCTAGGCAATAGTTGGATTGGTTTAATCCTTACTGAAGATGAGTAGTGTCTGCTCCCACTCAAATATTTCCTCGCAATGAATAATTTTTTGTTGGAGTTATAGGTGGCGCCTCAAGTGCACGTTACCTAAAAAATATTCTTCAAATTGTGTTTTAAGCATCAACCATTTATTAACATAACAATACATTTACATTTGAATCGCTGATTCCAGAAACGACACGAGTCAATAATATCAAAATGCTGAGAACTTTTTTTTAAAAAATTGATTAATTTAAATCAATGATTTATTTTTTTTTACCCGGTAGATTTTATACGCCTGTAGTGCAACTTCACTTGACTGTTGTCATTTCTTGACTACTTATGTAAATACCTCTTTAGAATGTGAAAACAACATAATTTTTGGGGGGGAAATATGACTCATGTAATTTCTACAAACAACGATTCAATTACACTTAAATACATGCTGCATTTCAGTACTTGTTGCGAATGGCGGAAATCCGACGAACAAATGATTGCTTATCCAAGCAATATAGCAATATAACAAGCGCCCCACAGTTGCGGCGCCCTTAGGCGATCTCAGGACATTTTTTCTTCTGCAAGATGCGTAATGGATCCTAATTGGAAAACTGAATTGGCGCGGACAGTTAATTTTGTAGGGAATTTCGTGAGTATGAATTGACTCCATCATTAACTGCTGCAACATATTTTTTCTTAAAAATGTTTCACCGTTTGTCCCATTTATGAAACATATTTTACGTTTTACATATTTACTCAACAATGAATCATTCATCTTGATTTCAAAAAGAATCTGAAATACTGTTTTTAAGCTTATCTATATTTTCTAAGTAAAGAACATAAGTAAAAAGAAAACTTCAGACATTACCCTGTCCAAGTAATTCAAATAATTATGTAAAAATTTAATGTGATGAAAATTTCTATTATTATTATTATTATTATTATTATTATTCGTTTTGTTGTCGATTGTTATATTTCGGTGAGTATTAATTGTAACTTATTTTTTAAATATATAATGAGAAGTTTGATTACTTTTAGCTTTGAAGTCAGCAAATAAATATATTGATGTTTTAGCTGCACTTTATATTAATTAAATATTACATTGATAGATATTTTGGTATGATTTTGCTACTTAACAGTTCAACCATAATTTATCGTAATATTTCATTAAAGTTTTAAATTAGCATATTTGTAATACTTATACAGCCATACTGATATGTAGAACAAATTTGTTTTCCCTTATCATATACTTTGCATGAGAGCTTTTGTATAAATGAAAGTGATAGGAAAGGAATAATAACAAGATAAATGAATAAACAAGAAAATATTTTGGAACAAACAAAGCACATTAGAAAAATAAAACATATTTCTTAATCTGCGAATTTCGTTTTTAACAGTTTAAAAACGAAATGTAGTGCTTTATTTTCCCGATGAATATAAATTAAAAAAATAATTCTAACATGTTTCATTGTTTTTCATGCAATTATTAATAGAAGAGATGTTTAACAAGCAAATAACTATTAATAACACATTTCAATTTCCAGATTACTGTTAAATGAAATCTGAAATAACTTTTCAAAATCGGCAATTTGGCGAAACAACAGCAAAGCACTTTTCCGCCTTTTCAATTCGTTAGAAGATTTTCATCGTCCTATTCGATTGCCCGTAGAGTTACCATTCTTATTTTCCCTCATAATCAAGCACTCTAGCCATTACTTACGTGGTGTTACAGTATGACAGAGTGCCGCCCCATGTCCCTGTTTCTGCAGCAACCATTAAGCTGGGCATTCATCTGTACTCCATCCCATTCCATTTGTCCCAATACTGTTTTTTTCCATCTATTCAAGTCGAAAAACGAGGCACGTTATTCACGGAGTCTCCAAAGTTTGTTTTGAGACAAGGTTCGAAGTCGCATAATTCTACACACCCGCCCCTCCTTTTCCCCTACGCGGGAGATTTAGAGCTTCATTTCGACCCTCGACGCTAGGTCTCAATGTAGGCAAATCCTTCGATGTGCCGTTGCTCTCTAATCGAGGCCCCAAGTTGGAATCGGCGCATGAAATGTTGGATTTTGAGTTCGTTTGAATTCCAGCATTGCCATTCCGCTATGCCAATTTCCTTCGGTTTTTAAAACTGACGATTGCTTTTTCCTTCCCGTGTTCCAAAAATTCCAGTTTGGAAGAGATGTGAATGGCCTGCTTTACAGTTCCCACACCATTTGGATTGACATGGGACAAAATAACATGCCCCCCGAGTGGGGTCGAACCACCAACCTTTCGGTGAACAGCCGAACGCCCCAGCCGATTGTGCCACGGAGGCTGTTGGTTGATGCACTGGGACAGGGGATTAACTCTATAAACAGGGTAGTTTAACATATCACAAGTTAACTAAGCGAGGGTAATTGTACGACAACTGTACTAGCTTACATGCAAAGTTGGGAAAATCAGATTGTTTGTCATCTGTGTTACCTATAAATGAAAGGTTCAAAGAAATACGTCAGTGATTTGAAATTATTGGTGTGTGGACGAGTTTTCTGATTTGTTTACTTACATTAAAAAGCTTGGCTTCATTTGATTACTTTTGAACTTCCGCTTTGAAGATTTCATTGTCTTAGCATTACATCGGAATTACGTAGTTACGGCATTTTAATGTAAATAAAAAAAGCAGAAAACTCGTCCATAATCCTCTGAAGTGGAATTTCTCATCAATGAAAATTCCGCTCAGTTATAAATAAAATCTTATTTTTATGTTAAAACAAAAACTTGGAACGCATTTTGAAAAATAAATGTGGTATTTCTGAAAGAATAATCATAATACATAAAATTGCATCGATGATGGGAACTAGCTTCTGTTTTTTTAGTTATGAATGCATATCGAAAGTATAATTTTGTTGTTAAAGGCGATTTTATCTGATTGCAGGCTGGGTGCCTTGACAAAGTCTAGTTTAAGAATTGTCCATTGTGTAAAATTCCATCTAGTCTAGACCTAGACCTCTTCTTTTTTATTTCCAAATGGATTTTGCACATCATTTTATAGAAACAAAACAATTTCGAGAAGCAAGCGATCCACAAAAACGGTGTACGAAACTTTCTGTAACTGTTGCGTCACTGTGTAAAGAATCATATTATGTCCCTAATATTTATTTGTAATTTATCTCATTTGATATTCTAAAGAGAATATTTTAATACCAGAAAGAAGAAAATACAGAAGAATCAGAAGAAGTAAACAATAGCGATAACAAGTTCGAGTTCTCTTCCATTCTAATGATTTTCTTTTAATGTGTTTTAATTTTTATTAAAGCATGATTTTTGTTGTTTGATTCTACAGTAATTCGTTAGTTAATTATGGACAATATTGTTGATGTTTTAATGTTTTAGATATTTTAGAAAAACTCGCTTCTCAAGGTTTTATAATATACCTATGTTGGATACCTTCTCACATTGGGATACTTGGTAACGAGCAAGCAGATAACGCTGCCAAGTCCGCTGCAATTTCCATAAATGGTACTGTTCCTATTGGTGATTTTCGAAAGCACATTAAATTGTTGCTTTACTCCAAATGGCAGGAACAGTGGAACATAGCGACTGGAAACAAGTTTCATGCTGTCAAACCAACTGTGGAGTCTTGGCCTTCTTTAAAGAATAGAAAAGCTGATACTGTTTTAACTAGGCTACGTGTAGGGCACACAAGATTTACTCTTCGTCACTTATTGCTCGGAGAATCAGCGCCAATGTACTTAGAGTGCAACTGTATTATGTCTGTTCATCACATCTTATCAGAATGCTCAAATTTTAACTCGCAACGTTTACGGTTTTTTAATTTTACTATTTCATTACCCACATTACTTGGCGAAACTCCTCATGTTCATCTTTTTGCATTTTTGAAAGCAATCGGCCTTTACTCTCTTATTTAAACAGAGTCGAGTTTTAACTGAAAACTTTTTCTTCGGTTTTTATACATATGCTACCTTACTCTTTTATCTTGTCATGATTTTACATTTTTTCTGGCGCAGAATGGTAAACTCCATGGCTCTTGCGCCAAAAAAACCAACACAACCAACCATGTTGATGCAATCACTGGCTGCTGCTGCGTTGGAGCTCAAAAGGTGTATTGTTATCGCTATTGTCTACTTCTTCTGTTTCTTCTTCTTTGTTTTGTATTAAAATATCTGTCTTTTGTATTTTATTGAAAGTTGCAGCATTTTTTGCGCCATTCTGTCTAATACAAAGTTTAAATTTTTAACTTCTAATTTTTTATATATTTTGTTAAATTATTTCACTTGTACTTGTTAGGAAAGACGAGTAATAATAAAGAGCTATAGAGTTAGTGAAATGTAGTATATTAACACGTTCGCGGATATGAATTCTACAGTAATAATTCTCATTGCGATTTAAAATGAATGAATGCTATAACTTTTAAATTTATACACCATATTATCATGCATTTGATTTCATATAGCCTCCAGTTTTTGAAATTATTATGCTCTTTAAAGTAATGACTAACTGGCTCATTGATTTTTTTTTTATTTTGCCTTTTCTTTCTATATATCCTTCATTTTTTAAAAATATTATGCAAAGTAATGACTAACTGGCTCATATATTCTCATTTTGTTTCTCCTTTTCCTGACCTCGAACGTGTTAAAATAGGCAACTTGGAAATTCTTACTTTTGGAACTTTACGTTTTTCATCTTTTATTTTTTTAGTCTTATTCAGTTATATTTCTCAATCAGGAAATAAGAATTGGGAAAAGAGATTCTTTATAATCATTTTTGATACCGAATGATAGATTATAGCTTGCAGAGACAAATTTCAATTCGATATCCTCCATTCCATCGTGAAGTTCACTTAATGGTAGATTTTTAAAATGATGACAAGAATGTGAATCACATGGACCATTTTCAGAGTCAAATTAAATCCCTTAAAAATTCGTCTTTGAAAATGGTAATCTGACTTTGCATGGGTTTATTTCAATTTTCTCTCATTTGCATCTATCATGCAAAATTGAAATGAAAGTAAATTTTTTTAATGAACGTCATCTTTCAGTAGTCGCTTTCGCCACGCTCATTTTATTATTAACCCCCTTAGTTATTTTGATGTACTAGCTTTCAAGTCTTGAAAATTTGCTTTTAAATTGAATAATTTGAACTTTATTGCATTTAGTCAAGTTTCTTTGAAAATGAAAAATAACAATAATAATTGAATAATAAAATTAACTTAAACACTATCAAAACAACAATCTATACATAAAAGCAGTTCTATCTGTTCAAGATGTTTCACAATATTAGTGTTATTTTTTTAAAAAAACAAGTGTTTAGTGAATAAAAGTTATTTTTTTCACTATTCAGTCTGAAATATATTCAAATCACCCTAGAACAATTAGCTGTTGCCACTAGAACATATCATTGTTGCCACTTTGAATCACACTTGAACAATTAGATGTTGCCACTAGAACCATTAGATGTTGTCAGTATGAATCTGGTTTGAACAGGAATTCATATACTTGAATATGTTTGCATATTAATTTAATCCTTTTCCGTGAAAGTTGTATATTGGCTATATTCTTAAACCACTTATCTTCAAGTTGTATCTCCATGACCGTAATGGACCATTCTCACGAAAAGATTCTTTTTTACGGTCCCGGGGTAATAAAAATTAGAAAGTGCAATAAATGTCCTAGTATTTTTGTTCATATGTATAATTTAAGTTTTAAGAAAGCTATTCAATACGTTTCTACTAAAATAGTTTTACTATTTAACTCTCATTTTTCAATGAATACAAGACAAAAGTCCCCTCCTTGGGCGTCCCTACATCTGAAACACAAGATAATTTTTACTCATACTCAAACAATTAAAAAGTTTTTTTTCCTTTTTTTCTTCAGTATTAACTAATTTAAAGTCTCTAGTTGAGATCTAACTTAATATTTTTTTAATATATATAATTTTTACTTAGGAATTAATTTTTAAACTTTGTCCCTGGAAAATTAAGTTTTCCTCCATGGACAAAGAAAATAACTTTAAAAAAATGTCATAAATGGCAATTCATGTCAAATCATCATGAAAGAGTTTATAAGAGAGGCAGACAATTTGTTCTTTAAGGGAAAACTTTTGGTTCTATTGCGAATTTATTGAATAAATAAAGTTCTCAGCGTCCATACAAAATTTTGATAGGTTTAGTGTTGAATTTAATAAAAATAAGTGTACCTCTTCAGCTACGTGAAAACCAAAGCACTTAAAAATTCAGAACTTAGCTTTTGTCTCCTCCATGGACACGGCATCTCCACAGAGAGGATGGCATTGTCAACAAAAGAGACAAAATTTCAAAAATCCTGATACAGTTAGATAAATTAAAATAATATCAATTAAAAGTTCTTTGGTAGATATTTTTTTATAAAATGTAATGATTTTCAGTTGTATTTTTTTTTAAATTAAAATTGAAATTATATTCTCGAGAGGAATTAAGGTAAACAATTCATATAGAATATTTATAATATTAAAGATTCAATGTATGTATGTATAAAAGAGATTGTATGTATATATGTGATTGTATGAGAGTAAGATTGTATGTATAAAAAACATTTTAACAGCTAAATTTATTTTTAGAAAAAATGAGAATATCAAAAAATAAAAAGACAAAGCAGTCGGATGCTCAAATTCAGAAGAGAAGAGAGTAGAAACAAACTTAATACGAGACTTAACTAGATTGTTTATTAATAAATAAATATATGATATTCCTTAATGTAATATATAATTGATAACTTTCTTGCAAAATGTTGACTTTCAATTATTCGAAATTGTTTGTGAACATTATTTAACTAATGCACAGTCAGTGCCATTATTTAAAAAGTATTATTTATTTTAAAATGTGAAGTTTTCTTGCACTGGTTTTTAATAACTAATTTTATAGTTAATTATAAGAAATAAACGTATACCAAATCTGCCCAATAATTAGTCAATTATGCTTTCGTTTAAAATGTAATAATTTCGCTGACTAGCATGCCTCTTTCATTGACAGTTCAAAAATTTTAAAACCAAAAAAAAAAAAAAAACAGTGAAAAACAAAATAGAAAACTTGACCACTAATATAAGGTTATTCTTTAAGCTTAAAAGGAAACATCCCAATTTTTAAGATTTTTTTTACATATTTTTGTAAAATATTTTTTTAGCTATTTGTACCTTTTGTATGAGAATGACGTGCTTTACTTCTGTTTCCGAGCCTGCTGAGCGAATGGACTTCATAGTTGATAATAACTACCTAGTACTACTAGTTTATTTAACCTTAATCACTTTCAATAAAAAGATGAGGTCACGAAAGACTTTTTA